CTTACATCATCTTTTTTAGTATTCAGTTTATCAAGATTTGATATTATAAGGTGTGCGTCATAATTTTTAAGGTTATGAAAAAATATTGGTATTTTAAAGAATTTGAAACAATAATCTAAATTACACTTGTTATGTGCACAACCACGATATAATCCAGTAAAATGACAATGGTCGCGTACCTTCTTTTTATCTTTAGTATTATTAAATGAACCACCACATATAAAGCACTTCTTACACTCTTGGAACTCTTTTTCTTGTTCATGTGTTATAATCATGGGCTTCGGTGTTTTCATCTTCTCAAATATTTCTTCTCTTATTTCATTCATTGTTTTACAAAAATTTTCCATACAATCCTCACCTCTATATATGTATGGTTTAACTTCATCTGTTATTGAATTAACAACATTTAACATAAAACCGCTTGGTTTATGTTCTTGATAGCTACCCTTTAATCCCTCGTTTGATAATGTGGTTAAACACTCAAAATCACCATAAATAACATAAGGACATCTCAATTTTTTGTAATGCTTTTGGAACATCATTTTTTCTTTTTCTTCAGGCATCTCAATCGCTTGAACTTCATTAGCCATACAACCCTTTAATGTATGAGCAGTTAATAATGTTTCTTGTTGAAAGCCTTTTTGACAAAATCTACAATGAAATAATTTTGCTTTGTGTTTGTTTGTTTGACTGAACATAAGCTTGTTATAATCTTTAATATAAACGTAATGACTAGAACCATCATCATTATCTAATCGTAAAAGGTTAACATGACAAGTTGGTTTAATGATTTTTGTTATTCTGTCTGCTCTTATTTTGTTGTTATCATTATCAACTGTATAAACATTTACTGAACAAGTGTTATTGTTGATTTCTTCAAAGTGTTGAATATCTTCATTTGAAGCGGGAAAATTAACACCATCCCATGCTATTAAACTTTCATTATCTAATAACTTTGCATAATGGTAAAGTCTTTCTGGGTGGTCTTTTTTGTATATATCATAAAATCTACATAAAATACAATATTTTAAACAATAGTCATCATCATTTTTAATATTGATACATGCCTTTTTCTTTGCTATCCAATCGGGTAGTTCTATAAATTTACCTGCTCTTGTAGGGTCGTATTTGTCATAATGAATTGTTATTTTACTCACTTTCTTTATTTTTAATCCTGATTTACTTAAGTTCTTGTTTTCAACTAGAAGTTCAATATCACTCGCCATATTGTTTATAGCATTGTTTAAATCTTCTTCGTTTAAAATATTGTATCTTCTACTTCCTATTGTATGTGTTCTATCTAAATCTTCATCGTCTTCATCTTCTGCGAGATATGTAAACACTAATTCAACAGTAATTAAAACTTTCATGCTCTTGTGTTTCTTAAGATAATCGTTTAAGCGTTCTTTTTGATATTTAAGGTATGATAAACCTTTAAAACCTGAAAGATTTATGTTTGAAATGGAATAAGAATTAGCATAAGATTTTAAGGCGGATTGTTCATCTGTTATTGATGCTTTGTTTTTAATAGCATAGCTTTTTAATGCTTGACGAACCATGACTTTTTTAGAAGCGTCGTTTAATACTTTAAAACGTTTGTATTCTGGTGTTTTAGATATTTTGTCTAGTTTCTTTGTTAAACGCTCTGTAAAAGGATTTGATTGATTATATGGATACTCTTTACCGTTTATAATTACTCGCTTTAACTGTTTACCTTTATTATTAACTTTAATCTCACCCATTTTTGAAGATAAGACGTATTTCATAACAGATTTTTTTAATGTATCTTCCATATAAGTATATAGGGTTTCATCCTTTAAGTCGGGACTTCCGTCATCAGGCTCCATACCCCTTAAGGGGGGCTAGTCTTTAAGTAGGGGCGCTGGGGCTGGGCTGGTGGGCGCTCGGTGGGGCACTCCTTTCAGGTTTTTATCTTCACTCCTTTCAGGGTTTTATTAAAAATGTTTTCATAAAACGAAAGGGCAAGGCGAGGCACGCGGTGCTGTGTAAATACAACCAAATTCCTAAACCAAACCCAAAAAAACAAAATCTTCAAAAAAGGAACGCTTTTTTACACGAAGGGGACACGAGGACGCGAGGAACGAGCCTCGCGTGCTAAACGCGACACTAAAAGCAAGAATAAAAAGGGGTGCGTTCCTTTTTTCAACACAACAGACCTACCTAAAACACAACAAGCCTCAACGCCTAAACCGAAAGGACTAAACCACAACAACCCTCAAGGACTAAACCACAACGCCCGAACGCCTAAACCGAAAGGACTAAACCACAACAACCCTCAAGGACTAAACCGAAAGGACTAAACCCTAAACCCTAAAAGCGTCTCAAGGATAGGAAGAGCCGACATCGGCTTCTGTGTCTCTGTGAAAGGAAGAGCCGACATCGTCGGATGTCACGTTCTTCACCTGGCGCGAGCGTATGATGTCTTTATTCACTATATTTTAGGATTTTATTATTATGAGGGGTTGAAAAGTCCATCGGGTAGGAGGGCTAAACTTATATTCTATGTCTTGAAGTCTATGATATATATTATTTTTGGGATTTTGGGTTATTTTGTGTGGGATTTGCCTGTATTTTCAGGGTATTTATATTTTTTGGGATATTTTTATGAATATGACTACTTGATATCTGACATTTTGGGGTTTAGGGGGTTTAGGCTGGTATGCATCCTGCACATCGCACATTTTAGGCCGACTTCTCATTCTTTGGTTGCCGTGCCCCTACAACAAAACCCGAAGTCCGGAATTAAACATTTAGTGGACTCCCCCTAAAGGGCGTTTAAGGCAAGAAGATGCACACCATTTTGGTGTACACCTTTTTGGTGTTTGCATTCCCCGCTTTTGGTGTACACCTTTTTGGTGTTTGCTCTCCCCGCTTTTGGTGTACACCTTTTTGGTGTTTGCTCTCCCCGCTTTTGGTGTACACCTCTTTCTTTTAGGAAATTACACAATTGGGTGCATCATCCGAATTTGAAGCTGAAGGCATACGCTGTTCATCTCTACGACGGTCTATTTCAGTGATAATCTCACCGAGGAAGCGTGAATTGCCATGTTTAACGGTGCTACCTGATGCTTCACTGTAGTTGTCAATGAACAGCAACAAGAAGTAGCGCTGGTAGTCATTCTGGATATTGTTGAGCTCTTTCTGGGCATTGTTCAAGATAGACATTGAAGGGAAAAGAACCTCCAAGACGCGAAAAAATCGTGCTTCACTTGTGTCACCACGACATCCACGAATGGCTTCTTGCATCAAGTCCTTCACCTCATTGAGCTTTTCATTTGGTAGAGAACGAAGCGCCATTTTCAAAATGGGAACTTCTTGAGCAACAAGGGTCTTTACCTCGTCCATCTTGCTCTTCACCTTCTGCATGAATGCAAGGAACTCTTCAGGAAACTGCACATTGGTAGGCAACTCTTCATTCTCGGGAACGCTGTTTGCAAGTGATTTTTTCTTGAAGACGTCCATTGCCTCCTTTTTTGTCATATGCTTCTTCACACCCAGCAAGACCATAGCGAAAAGTAAGTGCTTATCCTGAATCCTGACTACAGCAAGTGAGCAACAAATGCTGTGAACATAAAGCATTCAAATGCTTTGCGCAACAAGCAAAGAGAGAGGAACACGCCCATCTGCTGATCATGTGATTTTTTGACTTCTGCTCTTCAGTGCAACGGGTTGTGCAAGTTGAACCTAAAGCCCTGTGGATATCTCTAGGCTCTCGGTGCATCATCTGTTGATGCAAACGCTGAAAGGTCAAGACCTATAGGCTCTCGGTGCATCATCTGTTGATGCAAACGCTGAAAGGTCAAGACCTAGCGAATGGTCACCTCGGTACCGGCGACAATGAAGCTCATGTTCTTCACCTTCTTCTTCCCATCTTCCTCAATCATGCGGTTGGAGATGAAAAGGTTCATGTCAGCGCCACCGCGAATGCGATGCTGACGAATGATATCTCGCTTTACCATTGCCAGGGTATCCTCGGGGCTGATGTTGATGTTGACGCGTTCTCCGTTGTAGATGCCGACAATGTTGAAGTTGGCGGAGGCAGTGGATGCAGACGGTTTTTCTTTACCGATCTTCTGCAAAAGGTAGTCGCGCGAGACAAGGAGATTTTCCATTTGGGCGTTGATGGTGACGAGTTGCTCCTTCATCTCTGCTTTGGTCATGGCATCAAGTTCAACCTTGTTGTGAGGAACTTGGCTTTCATCGCGCTTCATGCGGAACATTCTCAACTTCTTGTTCTTCTTTTTCATGGCGGTGCTTACCACCTCAACCACTTCATCAACACCGGAAGAACCAGTCAATGACTCTTCCTCGCTCTCATGAACATCATCTTGGAGTTGCTTCTCCATCTTCTGAATGGACTTACTCGGGTATGCCATTGCACACTAAAGTGCACGAAGAAAGGGGCGAAACGTTTGAGATTGTAAAATCGCTCTGGATATTTAATTCTTTCAAACCAACAAGTTGTCCACTGAAGAAGCGAGAACTGCATACTCAAACATGTCTGTTGCACCTGTGTAGATGTGGAAGTTGATGAAGACGAAGAAGCCAAGGCGCGCCTATAACCTAAAACCCTAACCTTCAAGACCAAAAACCCCAACGAACATTCATAATAAAACTTATTATGAATATTTGATAAAACATTAGAAGGTCAAACTCCCCAGAAACCTAGGAATTATGATAATCCCTGAAATTATGATGAAAATAATGAATGAGATGACTACATGTGATGAAATTTTAGGGTGAATGTACTTAAAACTGATGATTTCATGATGAAACCCCAGAAACCCCTCCCATAAAACGAATGAGATGGAAATAATGATGTAGAATGAAGAAGATGATGATGGTGAAAATGATGTGATGTGAATAATGAAGATGGTGAGGTGTTGACCCCAGCGCCTGAAGGCCTGAACCCTAGGAACCCCCTATTTACTATTTTTTCCCCCTCCCCCCCCCTCCCCCCCTCGCACGCCCCCTTAGAGGCCGACGGCAAGCCTTGTCCGCCACCGCGGCCGGTGCAGGCTGCAGCTTAGGGGGGCCTTTTGTGGTCCCACAGGTGTGGGCCTTTTCTGGGATGCTTTGGGACGCTAAAAAACGTTTGGGGGATGCTTGGGGTCTTCGGCCTTCGGGTGCCACTTACAGCCAGACTTGCAACAGACGAGGAAATTTCAAGGGTCAGGCCTCGCTGGGCCGGGCAGTTGTGCCCGGACATTTTTGTCAACAATCTCAAAAAGAAGAGCTACATCGGAGCTACGTCGTTGCACGCCACCCACCGAAGGTTTCACGCAGAGCGCGGCCGAGGCGGCCGAAGTCGAGCAGTTTGGGCCTCAAAAGTCAGGGGTTAGGGGTTTTCTTTTTTCAGGGGAGCTTCCACCGCGTGGGACGGCGTAGGTGTCTTGATTCTTGGTTGGAGGTTTAAAGCGCGTTTTTTCAATGTTTGGAGGTTTGTCGTTTGAACTTGTGAACGTATGTCGTTCTTAATGTTAATTGTTGGTGCTCTTTTTAATTCCGGGTGCCTTTATCAGGGCCTTGCTGTCGTGCTCCCAGCTTTTCATGCCGCTCTTTCTCTTCCTCTTCCTCTCCCTCTTCCTCTTTCTCTGCATTCTCAAAACCGGTTCTCAACACTACGAAAGAGCTACTACCCTTGAAATCAGCCCTACGCCCCCCGAGGCCTTTGACATACTGCGGAGGTGGCTTTTGCACCTCCTTCCGCCTTGGCCGTGGGGCCCGGATGGTCCAAAGAAGCTTCCGGGGCTCGGCTTTCGGGCCGGAAGTCAACCTGAAGCCTCTAGTGTACCTAATGTGAACCTCTATACAGCACGCTTGCGCTTGCAATCATGAGACATGTGGTGGCTGCGGTGGGGAACTTGTGTTCTGCGAAGATGCAAAGATCCCCCCTTGTTAACTTGGGACCTTTTTTTCGGTTCATCCTCCTGCAACCCAAGGCCTAGGACTCAAACCCAACTTGATCGTGTAATCCGAACCTCGTCGTGCGGCTCGAAGCGTTTGTGGCCGCCCGACGTCCCCACGCCGTCTTTGCATAACACAGGCCGCGCAAAGCGTTCGCATTGAGCCTTTTTTCGCAGAGGGTGATGCGGTTGGGGCTTAAGACTTTAGCAGCTTAATCACAGCTTCTTGGAGATGCTTCAGTGGCCGTTCCATTCTTTGCTTCCATGTCTAGCAACCGAGCCACTCTGGACCCAGACCTCTATGCTTAGAGTCGAGATAAAATTCTGCTAGGTCCAACTGAACATTCCGCAAGCTTCCTCTGTGAGTTTTTTGAGTGCAGCCCCGTTCCCAAGCCTGGAGTCCCAGAGCCGCAAGCCCATGACCGTTGACCCCACGGTTGCAATGCGTTGCACGTGTAGGGTTGTGGTGAGGGATCAGGGCTCTCAGTTTCGCAAAGAGCTTGCAGCCCTGTGAGCCAATAGAGGTTGGGTTCGTGGAATTGGGGAACTTTTAAGCCCCAAGTCCTAGACCCGACCATCCCAGGGGTACGACGCATGTATAGACAAATGTAGGGGAAAGGTGGCGCTGCCAATGCAATTTGTGCTAGCATATAAGCCTTGCTTCCGATCCCCAGACTCCAAAGTTCTACTACAGCCATGAATCTGAAACCGTGCCCTTCGAGGGTTTCACAAATAGTGCGCCACCCCATGATCCTCAAAGGGGCCTAAACCCTAAACCCTAAACCCTGAACCCTGAACCCTGAACCCTGAACCCTGAACCCTGAACCCTGAACCCTGAACCCTGAACCCTGAACCCTCAACCCTGAGACCTAGCGCCTGAGAGGGGTCCCTATGGCGCGCCGCATTCGGTTGGCGGCCCTGGCCTTTGGCGGTGGCCTGGGCTTCGCAGTCCCCAGGCCGGAGGCAAAAAGTTTCATTATCATTATTATTACTATTATTATTGTAATTATTATTATTGTTAATCTTAGAATTAGTATGATTATTATGTTTTTTTGCTTGCTCTCTCTCTCTCTCTCTCTCTCTCTCTCTCTCTCTCTCGTGCTCTCTTTCTCTCCCTCCCTGCCTTTGGAACACGCACTTCTCCCTCTTGGCCTTTCAAGGGGCCTGTTGGGGAGAGGAGGGGCTTGGCAAAGTGGGAACCCCTGCTGTTCAAAACCTTCATATTCCGCGCGGACGGAGTTCGCGGGCATCGAAACCTTTGCATACGTTGCTCACAACCTGCAGACAGACATGCCCCCAGGACGAGACGAACTCGGCAGAAAAAATTGGTTTCACAATCATCGCCTGCGGGGAAGACAATGGAAATCGCTTGCCACAAAGCCCGATGGAAGTGAGAAGAAACTCACGCAAATCTGCAGGCCCTCCCCCTCTTCCCCCTTCAAAGCCATCTGCGCAAGGTTGGGTCCGGGACCGGACCCGAGGAACACACCGCCGGCGGCCAGACAGGCACCAGAGTCAAAGGGATATTCAGGATATTGCGGGTTGAGGAGGGGCTCTACCGAACAGAATTTCAAAAGCGGGTGATGCGTGACTTGTGTTGAATGATGCGTTGCAAGGTCGCATATAGAGAAAATAACAACTTCCGGAAGCTTCTCATTTTCCTTGGTCATCCGAGCCTTGAATAGGTCTAGAATGCTCATTTCTGCCTCCTTACTAGAAAACCAGTATAGGACTCAAGGGAAGAACTGAAGCATGCAAAAACATGTGGGGGGGGTGGGGGGGTACCAAATTTCGTGCGAGGTGTTCCCTGAGCCGAGCTTTGAATCGTCTACGATTTGGGGTTTAGCCCGAGGTCCCGAAACTTAAAACCCTATACCCTCGAACATCTCGAAACCGCCCGTCCCAATCCACTTTCTCCTAAAGCTGCAAGGGGCCCTGTCTTGCAGGCAGTAGTGAGACAGCAGCAGCCGCACACGCTCTGTGGGCGTAGCACTCAGAAGTTGAAATGCGTTGTTACATACGGGGCTTGACAGGGAAAGATAGAGACTTTTCAGGACCCCTGCTTATTATGTAGAACTACGTAAAATAGAAGCCAGCATACATGCAAGCAAGCTAAGTTATACATCCACAAATCTAAAGAGCAAGCCAAGGCCATGTGTAGTGAGAGAGAGAGAGCCTGCTCCAAACCTTAAGCGGCATGACTCAACGCCCCCAATGCTTCGCTGTTCGGGGCCGGAATACGAAAGTTGCAAATCTCTACAGAGAACCGACGACAAACAATGCGACTTGCAAGCACAATTCGCCAACTTTGTGTCTAAGGTTTGGGGGAGACATGTGGTGCGATGGAAGGGGGTGCCTGTTTGCCATGCCTTTCGTATTAGCAGACAATACGGACAGGGGGTAAACGCATCGGAAATACAGGGGGGAGATCACAATTTTCAAAGCGCACCCAGGGCCCCGCGGGCCGCGAATGCTCCGGCGTTGTCGCCCACCGGGATCCAAGCGCACCACAGCTTTGCAGGCAACTGGGCAAGAAGGGAGAGAACGGAACAGAAGGGTTTTAAGGTTGGGCCTCTAAAACCTAACAGACCTTGAACATGCTGGCTGTTGCTTGTATGGTTGAGAGGGTGTTTCGGGTGTTTGGGGCTTGGATAGGGAGTTTGAGTCTTAGAAAACAGGGCTGTTGGGGCTCAAGGGCACTTCGGGGGACTCAAGCCCCAAATCCCAGTCAAGCAGCAATCTCATAGTCCCCAATAAAAGCTGCGGCAGGTCAGCTACTGAAGGAGCTCTCTACCCACAGCGTCCGCTCAGCCGCCGGTGCTGGCGTGGTGGCCGCAGTGGCCGGGACCCCCGGGGCCTTTCTTTGGGGGCCTTGGGGCCTTGAATTTTAGCCCCCTTTGCCGCCCAAATCCCATGGATGCATTCTGAGTCCTAAGCCAGTCCGGATTTGAGGCCACAAGGGCACGGACAGTGACATTGTTGCGCCATGTTGTGCCCCGTGCGTTGGCATACTTCCGTCAAGTCTTCTCAGGAGTGTACCATAACAAAAACGGATTTGGTTCTCATGTTGTACGTTTTTTTTTTTCTTCTTCTCCTGTGCCCCAAAAGCCGTTCCAAGTCCTCTCTCCTAAGTACTATCCTCGTTCTTGTGCTCTAGTGCCCCTGAGTTATGCCGCCGTTTCTGTCGCCCCTGCCCTCCCCTCTCCGCACATCCCCCTTCTGATTCAGTTCCCCCCCCCCCCCAGCTTGTGCTTTGGGTTCAAAAGATATGTTATGCCCGGTAGCAGCGGGGCCCTGAGCCCAAAATCCGAAACTCCTTACACCCGAAAACCGTAAAACCCGATTGGTTTTGCTATGCTGGGTCTCAGGGTAGGCCCCAGGCTTTGAATTCTGCAGCATCACAGGCAGCATAGATAGAAACACGCCATAACGCGGGCGGGATGGGCAAAACAGACATCGCGGTGAAGCAGAAGAGGAACCCACGAAGGCAAACAACACAAGCAGGGCCAGCAAAAGAAAGATAAAGGCTGTCCGAACAAGCAGTCCATGTGCGGTGAAGACAGGGCACCTGCGAAACAAAGCAACACCAACTGTTTCAGCCGAAAGTGTGAAGATGCAAAATGTGCCGTGAGCAAACGTGAAATTGAATTGCATCTTGTGCTTAAGCGCCGTGCCCCTTCAAGAAATAGCATAAGCTTTCGCCCCGCGGCCCAGTGGCTTGGTTGTTTTTGCATGCCTCACACTACAGCGGTCCAAGATAAGGAAGCTGTGGCTCTACTTGTACAAGGGTAGCTTCCTGAGCAACCTTGAGACTGTCATCGTTTCACCTCAGCTTCGCCGCCGTTCTGCTTATGTCTTCCTGCAGAGGAAACCTTGCAACAAATGTCTTGAAGCTTGCATTTGCTGGTGAAGGTAAAGTGTGTTGATTCTTGAACCCTGGGTTGACTCAATTCGTGAGGTCATGGCCGTTTTAAGTGCTGTCGTGGACCCCTTGAAGGCCGAGCGCGAGCGTTGAAGCTTAGTTATGGGGCTTCTGGTATTTTGTGCATGTCGGATTTGTGGGCTTCATGGTTTGGGGGTTGAAATTGCCGGTGTTGGGGTTGGAACCTAGAGGTTTAGGCTTCGCGGGGTGGGTTTTGAGATGGAGTTCGTGGCTTAGTAGAAGGGGCACCCTCTTGAGGTTTTTTGTGTTTTCAAGGTGTTCAGGCCAAGTTAAATCCGGGGAGGAGTGCGAGGCCCCTTATTGGCCCCTTCGTCGCTCTTGCTGCCCTTGCAGACTCTTGCAGAATCACAGATTTCAGTTGTGCGTGACATTCGCATCATCTTTCTGAACCAGCGCCCGACAATTCTATGCCCTGAGACCCGAAGCCCTGAAGACCTGAACCCGAACATACCAGAAGAGTTCAGGGTCTGGATGTAAGCCGATGCTGCGTGACCTGTACCATGTCAGAAGCACAGTTCATACATCTTATACACATGGGCCGCCATGAGCCTGCGCCTCTGCAGAGGATCGCATGCTGCGCCGTCGAGTTTACGCCGGCAGCAAGCCGCACCAGATCCGCTGCTTCCTGGCAGTCAGCCGAGGGCTCAGAGGTCGGGAACTTCCGGGGAACACCGGGGGCCCCCAAGATGTCTGCAGATGCTGCAGATGTCTTTGCTTTGGCCCTCTCTGATCCGGCTTTTCGCATCCCTGGAAGAAGCTCTTTTTCATCACAATCTGTGCTCTCTCCACGTTGTATTTCTTACGTCCGAGGCTTCACGGTCATGTTTACCCTGGCTGCCCATGGGATGTTTATGTCAACAGACGA